ATGAGTGTGCTGTATAAACAATAATAGTCGTGGAGTAGCAAAAAACATATTCTATGTAATTTATTTTGTTGTCTACAACAGGTTTTTAGTCGGAGAGTCGCACGGTACAAAAAGTATTGATATTAATTTCGATTAAATATAAACGAACTGAATATTAATGTGGTTGCAGGTATATAGAGATACTTTGCAGTTTATGAATGTTTTAATTGCGATGTTTTTTTTTATGTAGTAAAAACTAGAAAACATAAGTATTTAGTAATAAAGAAGCAATTACGGGACAATATTATTTTTTATAACTGTTGTTAAAAATTTTTTTGAGTAAGTAAGAGTTATTACTTTGAAGTATTATACTAAAAGTAAAATAAATTAAAATTATACGATTATTTTCATCATCGACGCTTGAAAGGGATACTACCTAATAATACTCAAGCTACAAAATTACGTTAAATAAGTTTTATATACAATAAAAAATCATTATTATATACAACTTATTATATGTACTTGTGGCCCTCAGTAAAGCCTTCCTTTCAATAGTCGATATGTGTCCTTGTTGTGTTATCGAATCATTCATAAAAAGATTTTGTAAAAATATTTAAATTTCTCGTAACATTATAAAAACTATAATAAAGTTCACTATATTTTAAATCTCAGCATCTACTGCCACTTATCTAAATATCTTGCCATTTCCAAACACCTCTGATTAGAGCGAAACAGAGCTATGAAAAATCACATTATCGGTGTCAGTAAGAACATTTCTTTTCCTTGTTCGATGATTCCAAATTTGAAAAGAGACAGCCGCAGTCTAAAATTCAAAGTTACAAAACTAACATGGCGACTCCATGTCATTTCTGTTTTCATTTGACAAGGTCCTAATATGGCTGATGTTACATATTCAAACCTTTACCACTGCAGGCAGCATAGCAATCATGTGTTCATGATAATCAACCTAGCTGATGTATGAAATGTCCACAGATTATCTAGGTTGAAACTGTGGATTACATTTTGTAGATCTGTGGCAAAGGTTTGTGCTTTATGTCAGTTTTATACAGTGAAGTCTCGGTCAAATCCCTGGCCATTCAAAGGGGATTGTTCAAGCAAGTTTGGAACTTAAAGACCTTTGTTACTTTTGTAGTAAAATCAATCGCAATATTTCAACCGAATTAATTATAACCGAGGGTGGGGCACTGGTGACCTGTAACACAGGTTTTTATTGAAAAACCTACATCGGGCGCCAGTCTCACACATAGGTGTAATTTGAAAGAACATAGATTATGTATTTAATTATAAGACCTTTACCTATTTTGAAAATAAATAAATAATTTTACACTATTGCAACAAAAGGAAACTTGAATGCTCTTGAATTTCCTATCTGAAGTAAGGATTTTTTTTATTATCAGATTAAATCTTATAAAATATAAACAGAAATTGTTAAAATCTTAAAATTCGGGCACAACGAACATGGCTGCGATACCAAAAGTGGTCATTCCCCTTTTTGGATTTTTCTGTTAGAAAATTAATTAATTCTTATTCTTAGAATTTACTACATACAGTGTGGAAAGTATCTATTTTTTTTAAGAAACGAACACTAAGTACGCCCAGATTCAGAACAACCATTTGTGGATCACACAAAGTGTTGTCCCATGTGGGTATCGAACACACAACACTCAGCGCATTAGGAAGCGGCGAGGTGACTGCTCAAACCACTACGCCATCCGTGCCGAGTCAAAGGAATGACGAAAATTAACTCCATATTTGGTGGGTCTTAAAGCAGCAAAAAAAGATACATGTATATTAGCTACGTAGAATAAATGATTAGGATCATCACACAATTAAATGTCCATAGTGAGAATCGAACCCACAACCTCTGGCTCAGCAGTTAGGAACAACAACCATAAACAAAAACTAAAAATCCTTTTTTGAACAAACAAACTATTAGGCCTCATTATTCGAAACTGAAAAATCCTTCCTTTTGAAGGCTATTAAACATCAGTCTACAAACTTAAAGAGCTAAGCAGTGATGCGACGAGATGGCCACTTAAACGCGTTAAAATAAAAGTAAATAAAACTCAGTAATATTTTAGTTTGTATTATTTAAAAAATGAAACAAAAGGAACATTTTTATTATAGTAAGAAAATCATTACAGTGCTGACGTTACGTTTGTTCGTTACGTTACGTGTACAGACCAAGTACCAATTTGTAACATATTTAACATTTCATTGTCCAGATAATGTTCTAGGTGTTTGACAAGTAATTTATGTATTGGGAGCTTTATAAGGTAATGTAGCCCTTTCCCAGGTTTATCCAGCATGAATTCGTCTGATTGTTATAAATATATATCCATAAATTCACTTAACATGTGATGATTTTGTTTAGAAAAATTTCGATTTCAACACGAACTTCGAAATATACAGCAAGCATGAACTAGTTAAAATAATACTCGAGAGAGTGATTTCATTTACAAGGAATAGAAAATATGTTTTGAATAGATTCTGTTACGTAGTTTTGTAGGAAGCTTTCACGGTCTTAATCTATTTTTACGTGAGTTTGATTCTTACAGCGCATTCTTAATAGTTTACCTTAAATACCAAAAAAAAAAACCACCAAAATCTACACATAATACATTTTTTTATACACTATAATCCTGTATCTATAAGAGAAATGTAATTAAAGTATTGAAAAGTAACAAAATTGATATAAATGCTTTTGATGATTATGACAAAACTTAAATTATACAGTACAGATAAGGTAGCATCCTTACTGGTAGCGGACGCTTAAGCTGTAGCGGGAGCTCGGCTGGTTTACAATATGCAATATAATACTAAATAAAACGACACATAGACGCCTTTATTTGGTATAAAACACGCAATTTGCTAACCTGTAATCTAACGGTTAAATACTTTTTGAAATAAAATTAACCCGCTCCCATGTAATATTAAATAATACTAAAAATTAAACACATAGCTAAAGAAAACGAAACTAATTCGGTAAAATAAAAAAACACCTAATTCGGTGAAATATACACCTGATTCGGTGAAATTCATATTTCAAACATGTTGTATAATCTAGACCCTCATTAATTGTAATAGAAGTATTAATGATTGGTACAAAAATACTGGTAATTTGTTAATTTTTCATACAAACAATATTAATATCTACTAACTTAAATACAATAAATTCAGAGTTTCGATTTTAATACAATACATTATGAGTTGATTACTTGCAAATATGTGCATTAAAATTAAATATGCGTAACGTTTTTAAATTTGAAGAAATAGTTATATTATAAAAATATTGATTACGATATTTTTCATGCTTATACCACGAGCGAGTAGCGAGACAGACCAGCAGATTTCTATTCATAATGGTACCAAACTATTATAATGATTACTTAATCGATAAAATAATATGAATTTGAATTTAAATATCACTACTACAAAATATGTTAGGTGAGGCACCTACACTACTACAAAATATGTTAGGTGGCCAACAAAGTTGTACGAAAAGCCGGCCTAAATTTTTGTTATTTACAATAGTGTAAAAGAATAATGTTACCATAATAATATAATAAACCTGGCGTAATGCTCTAATACGCATATTTAGAGGAATTTATTTTAATCAAGGTAAGTATCGTATCAAATTAAGTATATTACCGTTTACAAACCAAACAAAGGAACAGAGACGACAAAAATAGCAAATAAAAGAGCATTTTGAATATTGTTCTGTTGTGCGCAGTTCGCGGGTACTGAATATTTATAACACAGTGATATTAAGAGGTCACTGTGCAGGAATTGAACAAAACCATTTTTAATGTTGCTGCTTCCGCATATTGGAAGAGAAATTTTGCTGTGTAATTCTAGTAAAGAATAATTTCAATTTGTTTCGATGATTCGATTTGAATATACATCACAAAATTTAATAATTTACAAAAACGAATATACTAAAGTTAATTATGTTTTCACACCAAATATAACAACTTGAAGTTGGATATCCAAACATTTCATAAAAGTTATGGGATGGGATGATGTAAAAATTTTAGGTCATCAGTGTTATACCAATACACTAACAATTGATGACCTAATTTTTTTGCTTAGAAATAAAGCTTCTATTATCACGAAAGAAACATCTCATTCCGGACTGGCGTAGACGACTTCATGGAGTTACTGCAGTCTCAGGCAAATTTACCATCTAAGACTTACGATACCTCTTACGCTATCTCTATCCGTTTACCGTACCCCAATTCACCTTTTTTCTTTGTTCCCCTTGAAAACGATCACATTCTCAATGATAGCCATGTTTTTTATACATAAGTTTAGTATGTTTAAAATCTCGCTAACCGCTCACAGTATAACCAAGGACCTATTGAACAATAGGAAGACAATATTGTTTACAATTAGATAGCTCATTGAATATGTTTACCTAACTACCAACAAATCTAGATATTTCAATATTGCTAAAGTCCAAATATAACACTTTGGTACATATTTTTTATTTTATATTTTTTTTTCATACGATTAAATATTGATAATACCATAATTTCAGCCATTGTGCGATGTTTCTGAAAACAAAAGGAGTTAACGTTAATATGATTTATTTGCAAAGAAGGAAATACAAAGTGACAGTACCATTTTACAAGATTACAAGCATGTAAATGGCGTTTAAATAGGCAGACTCATATTAGTTGTATACTGTAAGAATGTAGTAGGTATAAGTATTCATTTTATTCTCGCCTTTAGTGACTGAAACACAATAAGATCATAGGCTTCTAAGCCCTGCCCGATATATTAACAATTAAAAACTCATGTTTTCAAAGAATTGTAATCTAAGTTCAATATACCTGGATGTTTTTAAACAAGTTGTGACAAGGATTAAAGGGGAACGCTTATGGCTAAATCCAAGAATCCACATTTTGTCAACTATCATTTTATTATCACTCACAGAACAGAATAATTTAGTAAATAAACAGTCTTCTCGAGAGGACTACCTGAGATACTCATCTGCATCACTTTCTGCCAGTGCTCAAGTCTTGTAGTTCACTGCTATCATCACTGCTGGCACTTGGACATCCGTTAGTGGCATTAGTTGCGGGTGCGCCGGCCGCCATGCCTGCCATGGCTACAGAAAGCGGGATGGTTATGAACTGAGGCTGCGTTGACGATGATGCTACAAGTTAAAGAAACGGTGAAATTAAATACAGTGACAATTACGAGAAAACAGTTTTACATCAGCGACATACTTTTAAGGTAAAGGTATGCTATGGTTTTAATGTATTACTAAAAGAAAAGTAATGGTCAAATGGCTATAGATGTATGAAACTGGATAAGTGTGTTGTCCTCCGCAGTAGTTTTATGTTCTAAGTAATATCATTACACCGACAGCTCTTCATTTCTAGACGCAATAAAGCACACCGGAATGTTGTTTAAGTCAGTTTAACCGAATCTTACATAACATGAGGCCCAATGACAACTTCAGTGAATTTTCACCCAGGGGGATTTTTATCACAGTACTTAGAAATAATAGAGAGTATCCAATTATACGCACGGATATCATGTCCTTGATTAGCCAGTCCAAGAATAAAACTGGCAGGGTACCCCATCGCGAGGTTGTTGAGTCCAAGGTTATTTCTTATTTCATCTAGACCGACTCCTGCCAAAACTCCTGAATGGTATAGCATAGCTCCTCCAGGGAGATCGACAGGTTTAGGCAAGAGTTTCGGCAAGCCTTGAGGAGGTTTGCTGCTATCGGCTTCTTGGGCGTTTGATGATGATGTGGAAGCTATCGGTTCACCGTACGCTTCTCTGTGAACAAAGAAAAAACAACAATCTGTATATTAAAATTTAAACGAGAGTCAAAAGAGTGGGTTGCCTTATGCGAAATATTGATTTAGTGCCATTGATGGCTCCAGTGAATTACCAGAAGACGTGGGGATTTTATTACATACAATGTTAAAAACAGTGGAAAATATCAAATCATATGCAAGGATATAATCCTAATTTAAGAATAAATTAATTAATATCCTTGATAAGCAAGTTAACACTAAATTTATTTTGAGCACTGGACCAATAGTTCCGTACAATATTTATCGAGAAAAGTATTTTGTCTGCTCGTCGTCGTCCTCTAGAAGCCCAATATAAAAGTCAGCAAGTCCACCAGTTTCTTTAAATGATGAATTTCAAGAAGTCTCACCGTTTTATAGGTTCTTTATCACTATTTTCATTTTGCATCCAATCTTGTTTGTGGACGTGCATCAGTTTCTCTCTCGGTGACTCTGGTTCGCTGCCACTCTCGTCGCCGCTATCTCCTGACGATGCTGGTTCATCCTGGTGACAAAAAAGTTAGCGTTTAGAACTTGGAATAATTTGCTTGAATATTTGTACAGGTATAATAACGGCAATAAATTCCGCGTCTAATTAAACTGTTGTCTATCGTCTTTTATATTTTAATACACTATAAATTCTCATTTATATTAAAGCTTGAGTTTTACTGGTTTTGCTAAAAGATGCATGTATACGTAACATATTAAATTAAATTTTAACCTAATATTTATTTTAATTGTGATTGGTTCAAATTTCAGTCCGGGCCAATCACAGCGCCGAACGCGGTCACCGTGACGATCGAGTAGAAGTGAAATAAACTCACACTTGGCCCTCAGAGCTCCACAACCCAAGCAGGCGATTTCGAACTTCAGTAGAAAGACTGTTGGCGAACTTTTTAGATCTCCAACTACCTAAACGATTGCCACAGATGTGTGTATGACAACCGGGATAGACAGCCTAACGTGCTCTCCGCAGTACGAGGGGATTAAGACATGGTCACCCATCAATGACCTGGTTAGGATTGCTTAACTTTATAATGTGTTAACCTACTCGGTCACTACTTAGCCAGGAGTCCCTCTGATGCCAATATTTAAGACATGCCAATAAATATTCGCATCAATATTTTACTTTATCAACTCTTGAGCTTCACCGATGGACATGGTCATCATCTTAGTACGAGAAGCATCTTAATCCACCACCTCATCCAGTATAGTAAAGTTTGTGAAACCTGCGAAGTAGAAAAACTGTTACGAGAGAGATTCCCCTCAATCTCCCTTCGCCGTTAAAGCTAGTCCTATGGATTATGCAAACTTGACATAGTTAAAACATATTTAGTAAATTACTAAAACGTTCTGCACAAATTATAATAAATATAAATTTGTACTGGCAAATCTTAGTCGTTTCATATGCCGTGTCTTCCCCATTCGGGGAAGTAAATTTTGTGTTTTTAATACTTATTTTGTTAAGATATTAATCAAAAATAGTCTGCATATACATATTTAGCTAACTATACCCTGCATACATATAATGTACATACACTACCTTTTGTTCTAGTTTGGACAAAAACTTTCGGGGTAACAGAGTTAATTTGAAAAAAAAAAACACATTTAAAAACATTTATTTGTTATTTTTTGTTGTTAAGAAATTGTTGTACTATATTATGTACAAAAACATTCAATTCAGCTCTCCAACTAATTCCTTTAGCGTTATCCTAGACTAACACTTGAATATTTAATCCCTCCAATCAAGTTATACCGCGCACTCAGCGCAGGTGTTTCTGAAGCGCCACTCAAAACATTTTAGCGCAGCGAGTAAAACTACCTTGTAAAAGGGTGTCTACTCATAGCTGTGCACTTATTTGATGACGACTTAAGTGCTTATGAAATCGAGAGGATTTCCTTTTAAGTCTAAAGCTAAGATAAAGCCACGTCTGAGACACGTCTGAAGGACGAGACAGTCTAAAATATAGGTTGTGAATTTTTCGAGTGTGAAAATTAAGTGTGAAGATATGGCACGGTTGTTATTTTCTTTCAACACGTAATGGTTGACGTTAAGAATATTTTTTGGTACGATAACTGTACTTGTGCGATTCAGGATTAGTAGTTACTAATAAGTTCAGCTAGGGGCGCTGAAGTTATTGTGTATAAGACTTGTTAGACATTAATTCTACTGGCCTGTTGGTCTAGTGGTTAGCAACCCTGACTGCTACGCCAGAGGTCGTGGTTTCAATTCCCACCCAGGACAAATAATTGTGTGATGAACACGGTCATTTGTTCTGTGTCTGGGTGTACTTTATCTATAATATGTATGTATTTGGAAATATATAAGTGTGTTTATAAGCAGTCTGGTTACCAAAGTAAAGGCTCTACCTAGTTTGGGATCAGACCGCCTTGTGTAAATGTAAATTTTTATTATTATAATTAGAATAAATCTATTTTTTTATTTAACTGTTTGGTATTGCAATCGGATATAATTTATCCCTATTAATATTATAAACACGAAATTAACTATGTTTGTCTGTTACGCTTTCACGCCTAAATCGCTCAACCGATTTTTATGAAATTTGGCAAAGACATAATTTGATTCTCGAGGGAGGACATAAGCCTCTTTTTATCGCGATAACTGACATACAGGCGGACGGGGCCACGGGCAAAAGCTATTAAGTATATATATTCCACTTACATTACTCACCTAGATACAATCACATTACAATATGTAATGCCTACATTGTTAATAACATATTCATTTATTATTTCTTATTGTATTCACAAAGATAGTTTTGTTACGTCACGTGGATAAATCACACAAGTAATTAGTTGGTATCAGGCGCATCAAAGCAACACAATTGTAAATAAATACCTACAAAGGATGATTTCCAGGGACGCAGAGCTGCGCTCGCGCCGTTCGATACGATCGTACAGTGTTACTGTTAGAATAGAGTGGATAAGACCGCTGTGTATGATCTTTATAAATACTTTTAAAATATTTAAACGTCATAGTCTATGTAACACAGTAAAACTGTGTTATATTTACTAAACTACTACTACTACTATTACTGAAGATCTTAAAAACTTACATGCTATCTCAACTACTACTAAAACTTTTTCATCATCATCAACAGCCTCTAACAGACCATTGCTGGACATAGGCCTCTCCTTAGAAAGGAGGTTTAGGACTACTATACCACGCTGGCCAGACGGGTTGGTATAGGGATTTTTTCCAGTTTTCCTTCTGTTTAAAAAAAAAAAAAAAAAATAATGTGAATGTGAATGATTATTTAAATAAGCTGAGTCTACCTGAGTGCGTATACTTACTGTATATTTCATCTTAGGAATCTATCTATCTAATAGAATTGAACACTAAGTGAATGCCAGTTCGTATCTTATCCAGTATACTACCAGCTTAAACACACTCTTGACAAACTTACACGTATTAATAAGAGACTCACATTACTTGTAAAACATTCTACAAAGGAATGTATACAAAGCTTTGTAAAACATCAATCAACAAATCATTATTGATTGCAATAATCTATCAATGCAATAATATATTGAAAAGGGTATGTCCATATAATTATATCGTGACTAGTGCGCGTGGGCGTTGCCTTTATTCGCCGACGCACTAAATAATAATAATTGTGGTTAACTAACTACCGTTTAACGCATTCGGCTTTCTTCTGTACATCTGATAAGTCTAGTGATACAGTCGGCAGAAAAAATATATTATTGTACTGTTTTAAATTAAACATACTTATCCGTAAATTGTGTAGTTTAGATTAAATTATATTTGATTAGTGTAGTAAGGCAATTACTATGCTTATTTTAAGAAGAAATCTTACTACTTTTTAGACATTTTGGATGGATAATGGTTACACAGCTAAAACGTCTGTACAGATCTGCATGAAATTTGGCCGCAATATGAAATAGATGCTGGAATAGCACATATTATACTTTTATCCCAGAAAATTAAAAATAATAGATATTAAATAAAACAAAAGTATTATAACGTAACAAAAGTATTATCATTTTAACGTAGTTCAATTCGCCTTAATAATTAAATCTTGTGAGATACAAGATTGAATAAATCTAATTTTATGTAAAACCATACTGGTATCGTCATCATAAAGAAAATAAGTTTCTAGTAATATGGCAATACATACATGTCTCATTATACATTCCAAATACATATATATATGTATATATAATTTATTACTAATTATTAAAGCTACATTACTAGTGCAAAATGATTATTATATAAAATTAATTAAGAATGTTTGACTAACCTTACTCAGAATTTAATTAAAATTATTTGTAATTGAGGAATGAGGATAAAAAAAGGATTGAGGATTTATCAATTTAGTTATTCAAGCAAACTATTTCTTTCTGTGGTTACTCGTTTACCAACATGAGGTAAAATTATTAAAGTGTACCGTATAATTATCTACTGTCTTGACGCATTACTCAACATCTCTCGATGTATTAGTTCTCATTAACCTATTTAATAATAATCAATTATTCGTATATATATTACACAGCACATTTTAGATCCAAATTAATATAACTATACTACAGCTTGCATTATGGGTTCTTAGCCTATCCTTAGCCCAATTTTACTTGGGGTCGTTGCAGTAAGTATGACTCTTCCATTCTACTCTATCATTCGCCATCTCACTGTTTACTCCCTTCCTAGCCATATCCTCACACACAGAGTACATCCACCTTTCTTTAGCCTTCCTCTTCTCTTGTACCCTTCAAGTCCCATACCTATCAATTTCCTGGCCAAATCTTCCTCATCCCTCCGCATGAAATGACCATACCAAGATAACTCATTACTTCATAACTTTTCATTCAGTGGCGCTAACCTAACCACAAGGTTTAGGAATGATGGATAGATGGATGTGTGGTGGACAACTATTTGATTCACACCACACATTCATTTCAGAATGCGCATTTCGGCCACGTTCAGGCGTCACATACTATGATACTTCAAATAATTTTGTAAACGATTACATACAATACAAAGAAAAACTCAAACGGTCTTTTGGGCTACTGAATAGCGATCCTGACTGCTATCTCGTCAGAGGTCGTGGCTTAGATTCTCACCCAGAACGACTATCTAGGTCTAATAGAAATATAACTACTTGACGTTGGATGTTTAATATTTTACTACGGAAATACCTTTTATGACAGTTGTGAGATAGAAAGTTGATCGGAACTGAATTTCGACCGAACTTTTATTACGAGAATTGACCTTCAGTTGACGGCACGGAAGTATTGACAGTTGTACATTAACGTAACATAAGAACCTCTAGTAATAATAACTACTATAAGAACGGTTATCAAATATTACATAGGCCTTTTTCCACCTGTGTTACACAATCGCAGAAATAATCTCGTTTATACTATTCATTTCAGATTTTTTTATGCTAACAGTACGTTCTGAAGGCATTAAGTGTCCGCGAGTCGAGTCTACAATCGGTTAGTGCTCCGTTTTTGGACGTTACAGTTTATTTTGTAGCATAGTGACGTCACAATGCTACAGTTACCTCATTATTGTGCTAACTGTACTTATCGTTTGGTTCACTTGACAATTGTTTTAGATGTTAGAGAACGAGTGGGAGGCGAAATTGGTAATTTTGCCTTTTAAGATTTTAAAAACATTGGAAATGGTAAATACGTGGACTTCTTTTACAAAACCATCTACTTAACCAAAGGATAAGTACAGTTAGCACAATAATGAGGTAACTGTCATCATGCAAAAAGTTTTACTATAACTGAGTAGATGCAGGCAACGGAGATAATTGGGTTCGACTGTATGATAGGTTTATGTATGCGTATTTGATATTACAACTACCAACAAACTTTAACCGAAATGCACCTACCTCCTGTTCTCTCTGCATCACCCAAAGGTTGAGTGGTAGAGAATGCCTTAGACATTAAATCTGCCAATGCCCCAAAAGTGCATGATGTATAAATAAATAAATAATACAATATGTTTTAATAAAAGCTAATAAGCAGCTAGTGGATTTGAGGTCGTATTATTTTCAGTAATTATAGGTCGGACCGTTTTACCGTGGGTTAGCCATGATGAATGAGTGAGGTTAGCAGAGCCCAAACCCAATCATCTAAAAATTATATCATAGGCTGTCCACTGCTTAACATAAGCCTACCTCAATAACCTCCTGGTAAAAGAGGGGTCGAAAGTGACCTGTTTCCGTGTCATCCGATCACGTGCGTGAGAACTCAGTTTTTTTTTATTTATCACATAAAACAACTTGACAGAAAAAGTTTACAAAACGACAGCTTCTGGAGAAACCACATAGGTTTATGTTTGAGCCGTCTAGAGTTTACACTATAGTACAATGTAAGTGAATGAGGGTAGTTATATACTAAAATTTGGTACCTTAAATTGCGTACTAAAATACTATATTGGTATTTCGTAAAATAACTATTACTGCCCAACGATGGGAGCTTTCATTATGAGATTTAGGATTTATTGTGTAGTGTGATGTGTTTCCACAAGGTGGTGCTAAATTTGGTATGTTTTGGTATATGTGAGTGTAACCGGGCCGGGCCGGGCCTGTTGCTCTAGTGGTTAGTAACCCTGACTGCTAAACCGGAGATCGTGGGTTCGATTCCCACCCAGGACAAATATTGTATGATAAGCACGGTCATTTGTTCTGTATCTGGGTGTAATTTATCTATAATATGTATCTATTAAAAAAATATTTATCTATGTATGTTTATCAGCAATCCGGTTACCATAGTACAGGCTCTGCCTAGTTTGGTATCAGACGACCGTGTGTGAGAAGTGTGCGATCTATTATATTATAAAAAAAACCCCAAACTATACTAAACCGGGCTGACGCGGCAACACATAATTCATCCCTATAAGAAATCCGATCCACTTTCAATAATATTTCCTACTACACTATAGCACCAACGCTTAAAATGCATACTCCCAATAATATTTAGGCTATTAAAGGAATCACGTGCCCTGTATGAAAAACAATCGCTTGATCGTATCTATTTCGATCGTGTTCGATATTATCCAACCATTGTCGATCGATATCCATACATTCATTGCCCTGTATTTGTAAACCTTTATGATATTTATTTTGTTACAATCTGATATTAAAACCAGTATCGACTTTATTACAAGAAAAAATGAACTGGCTTGTTAAAAGAGTTCATAGTTTCATATCATCTTTATATCTTCTGTGTTATTCTTCTTTACGTGTTTATCCCTGAATTCTTCTTAAACTGCTGGTTGATGGTGTTTTTGTGTTTTTATTCACAGTTGGATCCGGTTCCGGTCTGGTCTGGTTCTTAAACTAGATTTTTATTTTCAACCAGTTAATGTGATAGACTTTGGGAAGTATGTTTTACAAGCCAACTTAATTTGACTGCACGTATGGCGTAGTGGTTTAAGAGGTCACCTCGCCGCTTACTAGTACGCTGAGTGTTGTGGGTCCGATCCCCAGATAGGACAACACTTTGGTCATTCAAAAATTGTTGTTCTGATTCTGGGTGTTCTTCGTTTCATGTATGTTTGTAAAGTCCCCCGTGACAGAGGATTTATTCCTAGTGCGGCAGTTGTCTTTTTTTTAAAGAAAGAAAGAAAGATGAAATCACACATGTCCTCACATGGGACAACACTTTGTGTGATCCACAAATTGTTGTTCTGAGTCTGGGTGTTCTTTGTGTCCATTTCTTGTATGTTTGTTAAGTCCCCCGCGACACAGGATATATTCCTAATGAGGGAGTTCTCTTTTTTTTTAAAGAAAGAAAAAGAAAGAAATAGACATCACAAAGTAACATCTGTCAGATTCGCTTCATCAATCATCATCATCAACAGCCTTTACTAGTCCACTATTTGACATAGGCCTCTCCTTAGAAAGGTGGTTTTGGCCTACTACATCACGCTGGCCAGACGGGTTGGCATAGGGTTTGTGTCAAGTTTTGCTTCTCTCTGCAGTGCTGTTGTCCTGCATAGTTTGCTCCCTTAGTCGCCTCTTACGACACCCACGGGATGAATAGGGGTGGTGACACCCTGTATTCTTAATCCGTCGCTAAGATTCGCTTAGTATAGTATTAATGTTTTTGCATAGAAAGATTCGTGGAAATAAGTTAAATTGAGAAGAAATTTTTAATTAAAAGTGTAGAAAAAGTACCGTCAGCTGAAAATTTTAACAAAAAATAAAATATGCTAATACAAGTTGGACAATTGCTGGACTCTAGTAGATTTTGTAACTCCGTACTATATATACCACATAATAACATATAGTAGGAAAAGACAAATAAGGTTCCAGTTATATTTGTCTACA